CGTTTTATTCCTAGAGTGTTAGAAATGCTGTAATAGATATTCAAAACATGGGGTTGACAGGCCATGCAAGAGATTTCTTAGCCCATCTTGAATCTTGTGGCTAAAAATGGTCCACTGTCCAGTTGTCAGTCGTGTTGTCTAGCTGGCTGACTCTGAGGCTTTGTCTATTTCTCCTGTAAAGTTTTGTTCCTTTAATAACAGTTCTGACATCAGCCTTTGTGTAGTTTGTTTAGGCTCTTTGTCTTGTTGACAAAAGCCGCGAGTTCCTTAGGGATGTTTCATCCCACACCTCCAGTGTAAATGATCCTGATAGGTGGAGGCCACTTCCTGAACAGATTTAATTGTATGATTGTGGGCAAAACGAATTTGTATGATATTTATTTAGACTATCAGAGTTCTTGTCTTTCATTTAGACAGACACAATGGCTACATGCCTTTTGAAGGTGCAATCTCTTAATCTGTGAAAATCTTGAAAAAATTTAAATGACATCCCTAAAGTACACATTTGTACATATTCAGTTCACTGATAATTTATGATTTGTACAAATCATACTGCCTGTGGTATGCAGTTATTTTTCTGAGTAATATGAACTCTTTTGAGGCAAAGGGTGTATGTTTGTTGATGTTTCTCTACAGAGCATAACATTGTAAGCAAGTTCTTTTGGCTGGATATTTTATCAAAATTTGACTTTTTGTTTAATCTGTTAGAACAGTTTCTTTGCTATATTAATAAACCCCTTTAAAAATCGCTGAATCAAGAAAAGCTGGTGATCATTGAAAAGAAATGAAAAAGGTTCTCAGCTAAGATTCAGTGTTGTCGTGTTTTTCCAGCTAGTTTTGTAACAATCAAAGTGTCTTACTTTTCCCCCAATATTAAATGACCATTATCGCGTCGATGTGCATCTCTTTGAGCAAACAAACAAAGCTTTTCTCTACTCAATCAAGCAAACAAAGTTTTATGATGATTACTATCTAAGGTTTTTTGCTGTAGAATAGTTTTCTGCCATGGAGTTATCCTTTTCATGTAGCAAGCTTTTAGTGAGAGAAATGAAATTGTATGTCTGCAATGTACAGCCATGTGTGTTCAAATTTTAGGTGTATAATATAAAATGTGTATTGTCTAACAGTAACAAAAAAGGAGAAAGGTAAAGCAGGAGCTGTAGGTAACTAGTGATTTTAAGATTCCAGGTATTATTCTGTCAGCTGAAAGCCAGAAGTAACTATGTTCATTTTAGCTAAAATATCAAAAGTAGTACTATTGAGCCATTGAGGGGACATGCCATCTTGTCCTCTAAGCAGTTTTTCCACAAATTGCAGTTCTGAACGTGTCTCTGTCCTACACTTTCCTGTTTAAACTTTGTCGTGAAATCCATTTTTTGTACTCCAAAATAAGGAGTATGGACATAATCACTCTAGTTTTCAGGTGACAAATATCAATTAATACTTCCCTTTGGTTTTTATTACATTTCTTTTCCGCTCTATTAGTGTGCATTGGATAAGAATGACCTGTCAGCGAGGCTATTGTTTCTTTTCTTCTGTTTACTATTGAGGGATTTCTTGGGCTAACATTTTTGCTTTGTGTGACCTGTTTTGCTTTTTTAGGGTACCTATTTTTTTTTAACAAACCAATCACCCCAACCCACCTACCACCCCTACAAAAAAAAAATCCCCCAAACTTCAAGAATAAAAAAAAAAGGGTTAACTTTTTAGAACTTGAATTAGTTATTATATTATGTCCATATTTGTTACCCTTTTTAGGAAGTCTTTTTTTTGGTGTTTTTACTTTCTTTTAAAAAGCTGTAGCTTTTGTTTTACATGTCCGTCTATTTTGAAGCACATGATAAGTCAAATGAGCAGTGACAATCACTCTGTCTGTTTGTCCGTCTGTGTTTCCATCTCTCCATATTTTGTCTGCCTGTCCATCTGTCCATCCGTCTGTCCGTCTGTCCGTCTGTCCGTCTGCCTGTCTGTCTGTCTGTCTGTCTGTCTGTCTGTCTGTCTGTCTGTCTGTCTGTCTGTCTCCGGTGGACATACACAGTCCTTAGGGCGTTGACGCACAAATACTCATTCTTCATTTTTTTGCACTTTAATTACTGTATATTTGTTTTTTGTGTGCGTGTGCGTATGTGCATGTGTGCATATGTGCATGCCCATGTGTGTGTATGTGTGTGTGTGTGTGTGTGTGTGTGTGTGTGTGTGTGTGTGTGTGTGTGTGTGTGTGTGTGTGTGTGTGTGTTGGGTCAGTCATACACACCTCATTCCCACAGAAAAAACCTTAAAGGTGCCACTTAAAATCCTCCCCGTTATACTTTTTTTGTTGTTGCTTCGGTTCAGTCTATTTTTGCATATCATTGTCGAATTAATGAAGTAATCAACAACACTTTCAATATTAGGTTTTGTACAAAAATTAAGACATTCAGCCTTGCACAGTTTGAGGAAAGTATTATGATGTAAAGAAACGACAAACATATTTCCAATTATGTTAATGATCATATTACTTTTTCACCATGATCTTATAGCTATTCCTAATGGACACTGAATATATAATAATATAAATAAATATATATTATACACAGAATGTACATTTTTGAAATGTTTCTAGTATCCTGATCTGTTCCTAGTTGAAATGTGGCAGCCTAGATTATGTGTGGAGTTGCCTAAAGCTTTTTGTACAACACTAATGGTTTTGTGTGCCTGAAGCAGTAGTACGTATTAATTTGTCGTGTTTTAGTTGTGCTGTGCTGGGTTTTTTTGGTATGTACAGCCTTGTGATGCAATGTGTACTCATGTACAGATTTGACAATGTTTCAGTATGCTTGTTTTTGGTTTTTTTGCTGATCGTGTATTATGGGTTTACCCATCTATATATCTTTACGTTAAGAAAAATGCCTTTCTGTTATTAATGTACTTATTTGTTGGACCTTTAGAATAATTGCTTGTATGTGTTCCGAGCATGTGATTAAGTCATGTTGGTGAAATGACTCATTTTAAACCAGAAAGTGTCATGTAACTGGATTTAATAATATATGAATAGCTTCTTGTGCTTGGTATCAATGTATTTTCATTTTTTTTGGGGTAAAATTTCTTGTGACACTGTTCTTTAATCCTCTTCTGAGGACTTCTTATCTGTACTATGTATATTAGAATGCATTGTAAAGTTTTGCTCAGCTTGATTGATATTATTTTAAAAAAAATTCACTTTTTGAAAATTAAACATATGCACTGTCTCAGATTCCTAGTGGGTGATATAAAAATACTACTAGTTCTTTTTTGTGAACTCTAAGACAAGATGATTGTTACTTTTATTTATTTGTTGTTTTGTGATGGAAGGTTATGTGGAATGAGGTTTTAGGTTTATTATTTGTAATCTGTATGATCCCACCATTTCATTGTGAGTTTCAGGGGGTCTTTCTAGCAGTTAATTTTGTGTATGTGTGTGTAGCTGTAGCATGAGCTCTCTCAACTGATGCAAGTGGGTCCTCTTGACCTTACCTTGTAATTGTGGAATTTATGTTAAAAAATGTAAGTGTATATATGTGTCGCGCCCACTTGGATGTAATTTACATCATTTAACATAAGGATAGCCGAGGTTCTAGAAATGTTATTTTCAATGAGAAGGCAAAAAAAACCTAGGTATTTACTTTGACCATAAATTTGTAATGAAACCTCAAACTAGTCTCCAATGCAAATAATTAATGTACTGTGAATTGATGAGAATAGGTTAAGATTCAGCACTTTTGAGTCAATATTCCCTCCAGATTCTCATCTCAGCATTTCTTTCATCTAGACTTGACTCTTGTAATTCTCTTCTTGCCTATTTAAGTTTGCAAATGATAAACAACGATCTCGAAATAGAGCTGCTTGATTGATGTGAAGAAGAACCAACAGAAGAACACCTCACACCTTAATTAATAAAGTTACCTTGACTACCAGTTAAAATTGCACTTTTATGTCATTAGTGCATGAACAAAAAGCACCAACATTTCTTCCAAAAAATTTTCAGAAAATTTTTTTATTGAGTCATACTATGTACTATCAAGACCTTTGAGATTGGCAGATCAGATTCTCACCAGAGAGCCCATAGTTTTCTTACAAGTTGAGTGGGAGAGCTTTTTCTTCCTAGGCCCCAAAAATGTGGAATCCCCCCCCCGAAAAGAAATGCGAATCATAACATCAGAAAGAGAGTTTAAGAAAAGCTCAATGACACATTTGTTCAACATTATCCTCTGCCAGTTAATTTTGTTTGTGAGAATGTGTGTGGGTCTGGAAGTTTTGTGTGTGTTTGTCGGGGGGGGGGGGGGAGAGGATAAGGAAGGTATGTGTGTATGTGTGTGTTTGTGTGTGTGTGTGTGTGTGTGTGTGTGTGTGTGTGTGTGTGCGTGCGTTGTGTGTATGTGTGTGTGTGCGTTGCGTTGCGTTTGTGTGTGGTGTGTGTGTGTGTGTCTCACAATGTTCATTTTTGTCTTTTGATTGGTCAGTTGAGTCATGATTCTGTGTTGTACAGAGCTAAGAGCCTACTAGGGATTAGACACTATATCAATTCCTATTATTATTATTATCATTATTATTATTACTATTATTATTATTATTATTATTATTATTATTATTATTATTATTAAGGATGCGGACTGATTTGACCCTGCCTGTCAGGACCAATCATGGCTTTGAAGGATACAATGTTCCAGCTGACAGATGGAGATACCCGCTAAAAACCTCCCCTTTTGAGAATAGAACTTTCATCTTCCGCATGCTGTAGAAAAGCATATAATCACTACACCAAAAAAGCTGGTACATCCATGTGCTTAAACGTTTCGTTTTAGAGTATTTTATTGTAGACAGTTTTTTACATGTGTATCTGAATGCAGTATATGTATAAAAAGCTTACTTGTGGTGCTATTGCACTTGAAAAAACAGCAGTGCCAGTGGTATCCAGAAGTCTGTGTCTTGACTGAGCCGTTTGATTACCATGATATTAATTGGTGCTGCGGTACTTGTTTCAGAGTATTACGCGGGCCTGCACTCCAGCCGAAAGAACAGAAATGATCAAGAAGAGAAGAAACCAGAGAAATCCACGCCATCCCCATGGAAATCTCTCCTTACTAAGATAGAAATAGAGAACCATGGTAGTATGACACCTGTTGCTCAGGAAGATTTGGCAGGCGGGGAGGACAAGGAGGATAAAGACAAGAAAGATGGCAAGGAGAAGAAGAAGAGCTCGAAGAAGACAGCAGGCAAAAGCAAGGATGATAAAAAGAAAAAGAAGAAAAAGAAGAAGAAGAAAAAGAAGAGAAAGAAAAAAGTTCAAGGCGTAAAGGAAAAAAAAAAGGATGGGAAGAAAAAAGAGAAAGGTGAAAAGGGTAAAGGAAAGAAAAGAAAGGACAAAAATGCCTCTCACAAAGATGACAATGAGAACAAAAATGAGTATTTTGAAGAGGCCAATGGCTCCCACCCAGACAAGGAGGTTCACAGTTCAGGGCGACTGAGAGGAAGGTCTGGCCATCGGAGACGAAAAGCCAAGCACCGGCATAGAGATCGATCGGATAGTGATGACCAAAATTATGTGGCACGAGCACATGCTTTAGATTACAGCTCCGTACCTACTGTTGCAGCCCTTGAAAAGACCAATCACTTCAGATGTGAGGGAGAAGGAGATCACCACGTGAACCAGTTGCCATCACTGTTTTGTGGTGCTGGAGAAAAGCTGTCTTTTGTCAAAAAGCAACAACAAAAGGTGTTCAGTCGCTCAAAATGCTCAAAGGCTCTGCAACTTCCAGTCAACCATTGTGCTGACTCCAAATCTAGAGTAACAGGAGAAAATGTATTATTACCTTCTTCTCTTGTGAGCATTTGCAAGGAAGATACAATGCCGATTTGCAACGGGTCTGATGGTGCTGATGATGCATACAAACAAATGTGGCTGCAAGACAAAAAACAAAAGGAGGCTGCTCCTCCCAAAAAATTGACTGCTGAAGACACTGATTGTCACACCAACAGGAGCCGATCAAGGAAGTTAAGCTGCCGAGAACATGATTCTCTCACTAGAAATGTAGATATGAATAAACCGTGCAACATAAAAGATATTTCAAGGTCACCTGGTGAACGTGAACGTGAGTTGGATTATAAATCAGTTCAAATGAGGGATCATGTGTTTGAGGGAAAACCTTGTCTAAAGTCATCTTCCCTCAAGGCCAGTGGAGATTTTGATGAGAGACATCACAGCAGAGGAGCTGATACTCCCCTGAGCTCTGAAAAATACCAGGGGAAAAACCAGATAATGGCTTCTCGGGAACAGAAGGCCATCAATACATCAACTGTTAGCAGTTTGCTAACACTGTTGCCTTCAGATATGAATTACAATTTTCAGCCGGCTGCAAGGAGAGAGAAAACTCCTCAGAGACAGCCTGGGAGCCATGGTCTGTACACTTTTTGAGCAAACAGTTAAAGTTACCTATTTATTTTGTTTGCTTTGTTGTTCATTCATGTTGGTTCTTTGATAGTTTTTTATTGGTCATTTTCGTTTTCTCTCACAGACTGATTGTTTTTTGCTTGCTGAAGTAACCTGTTAGTTTTATTTACTACCTACTTATGTTTGTTGTCTTGTCCTTGTTTTTTTTTGTAATGGTCATTACAAAGTTGCCTGCTCATCGATAACAGTAATCTTATTCATTGCCATTTTGATAAGTGTAATTTCTTTCCTGTAATGAATGTCTGAGTTTGTCATAATTCTTTTTGTTCAAGTTCCTCAGCATTGTAATTTTTACTTGAGTTCTAATTCAGTTATCAGACTGAGTCAAATCATGTAAAATTGTGTTATGAGCAATTCTTTTTTTTTTTCCTTCAAACTGTGATATATGCTTGTTTTACTGTTTACTGTTCTGTATATGTCCTGTGTTGTTTATAGTTTGTGCTTTTTCTGGAATTTAAAAAAAAGGTTATAATATTTGCTCCGGTTTATGAATACTTTACTTTTCATTTATAGTTGTGAATACTTTTGTTATTCAGATTTACCCTTCTGTCCTTTAATTTTCATGCATTTATTATGAAAAAAACCCGACTGTTTATAGGTTTTCAGAACATTTGTCATTGCCTTGTCTTGCATTTGTCTTGCAGAAATCGCCATTTTCAGTCTACCATTGGCCTAATTAACCGCTTATGCAATCATCATTAGGCGTAAAATGGAGAGGAATACAGCACAGAGACCGCTGTTGTACCTTAACAGTGCATACTCATACTACTACTATCTGTTATTTTGTTATGGTGTCATAACTTGTATCATTTTCATAAACTTGTAACTGTTGATATTTCTTAAGTTTGAGGAAAAGTATTTGTTTTGCCTTTGTACACAGACTGCAATAATATACAGTCTTTTTTCAAAGTAGTATATTTTCCTCTATTGAAATGTGTTGTTTCTCATGACTTACCCTTACTTATTTGTATTTTTCAACTGTACGTGCAATTAGCATGAGCATGGATTTCTAGCCCTCATCTGGTCTGCTCCTCAGCTCAGTTTGTATCATTATGAATTTTTGAAAGGATGTCTCTTGCTTAAATCTCCAAGGGGGCATTCATGGTCTTTATGGTTGTATGGGAGAGTTTTCAATGCTGTCCAACCACTTGACTTGCTCCTATCACTAATTTGCCTTGCAATTGAGGTCTTGCCTCTACCAGTGATGAAAGGGGCATGAAATTCTTTACTAAACCAAATTTTGAAATTTGAACTTTCCTTTTGGTGTTTGACCCATGTTTCTCACCGAGTCCTTTTCTCCAAGCTAAAAAGAGAAAAATGAAGAAGAAACTGCCAAGTCAGACCCAATCTACTTTTCGGCCCCGTACTCCCTCCGACACGAAGAAGCACCGTGCAACATCACAGGGAGGACCAGGTGCATTTGACTTCCTGATGTCCAATCTGCGTCCAGACGGTACTTCCTCCAGTATGTATAACCAGCAAATGGATGTGCAAGGGGGCTTATCAGATGCAGCTAGCTTGTACGACCAACAGCAGCTGCCGTTGCAGCAGCGCGCCTCTGTGTCTCAAGGATTGGCGGGGTATGGACAACAGGTGCCTCTACCACAGCATCAGCAAGCTGCTCTGGAGGATGGTAGGTGAAATGATGGATGTTTATAGAGAGAAATTAAGTGCCTGTCTGTTCAGCATGTTATTATTCTGTAGGCTTTGTGTTATCACCATGGTCTTTGCAGCCAAATTTTTATGAATTAATGTCAGTTTGACTCTGGTGGATGTAATAATATTTTCTTTCTTGATCACAGTGGAATTTGGTCCATCTGCAGGTGATGTTTATAAGATATAGGTCAGAATGATTAACTCTTTCAGTGTGAAAGTATAATTGTTTAGTTAAGGCACGAAATGCACCAATAAGAAACAGCAAAATGAACCATGCTGGAACCTTCATTTAGAAATTTAAGAAAATGTAGGGCTTCTGTGTTCCTGGTGAAACTTCTCTTCCCCCATCCCCCATCAACCCTCTTCCCTCAACCATCTCAGAACCTATTTTGTTTTGAGGATGAAAACGTATATTATCCTATAAGTGGCATGTTCAGAGGCTAGATTTCAAGATATGGGAAGAAGAGAAGAGGAGAGTGGCCTCAGGCAGTTTGTTTTACCATGTTACAATATTGTTTTTAGTTCCTCAAGCACTTGAAGAAATAAGTATAATAAAACACAGTAAATGCTGTTTGCCTCTTATTTTGAATTATTTGGTTATAGTATATTTGATAACTATTAAGAAGACAACTAAGGACAGGTAGTTTGAGTCAAACTAGGCATTTTGTTCTACTTTAAGAGGTTAAAATTTGTTTTTATACAGTTTCCAGATTATTTAATTTGATTGTGTTCAGTGGTCTGTCTGATTCCCTTGCAGCTGATCATATTATGATCATATTATGGACTAGAATCAGTAAAATAATTTAACACTCCACTTCAAAGACTTTTGAATTTTAAAGCACACATTAACCTATTAAAATCTTAATGGAGCAAAGATAATTCACTTACAAACTCAATTGGAATGTCTCAAATTAAAGTAGATTCATTCTGAAATAACATTGATATAGACACGTTTAATAGAAAAGACTTGATAGATAGGAAAAGCTAATTTGCTATCACTTAACAAAGCCACCAAGCATAAATTGTAATTGTAGACGTTTTACACCCTCATCAACACTAGTTAGATCAATTAGCAGACAGGCTGTCTCGAGCCTGCTGAGAAGGATGCAGTGTCTCAGCAGAAAGATGGAGATACTCGATCAATATTCTCCCCACTCAGGAATAGACTTCAGCTCTCCTGTGTTGGATGGCAAAACACCTAATCATTATTCTAAAGAAAGTGGTATAGTCATTGCAATAAGGAAATATATTTATGCCATGTTACCCAGCTTCAAAGAGTGTCTCTATAGAATTCTGTCCAATTGTGAATTTTTTTTTTGTATGTGATGATTGTTGAGCTATATTTTTCTTTTTCTTTTAGATTCATTTTTCTTTTAGATTCATTTTTCTTTTAGATTCATTTTTCAATGAGTAAAAAAAAAATGGAGAAGGAAATTTCCATATCATTATCATTGATTGCTATGACTGTATAGTTTCAAATAAATAGAAAGAATTTAGGAAAACTTGAATGTGTTATAATATCTAATTTATTTGAGTTAAAGGCAAATGCAGTTTGTGAAAAGTATTATAAGTTTATGTCAGCCAAGAAACTAATACATAATTTTAGTCTTCTCATGATTGATTGTTGGCCATATTGTTGAAACCCTTTGGTTTGGATAGTTATACTTTGGAGCCACTATTGGCCTAAAACCTCCAGCACCGCATGATCCAATGCTCTGTTGAAACTGTCAGGGATGGTTGGCTGTGCTGGACTCTATGAGATTGGGTCAGCTTTGCAAATTTTACCCTCGCTAGGGAACTGGCTTTCGTGTAAATCAATGTTGTGTCATTCCAAATTAAAAATTGCTAGTTTACTTAACTTTTTTTTATGGGAGTAGGTAGACATTTTTATGGCTGAGTATTCTTTTGGCTGGATTAAAATTTTTCCATGTAAATTTGGTTTTCAAAATTTGGGAAAGCTTCAATCCTTGAGCTGATACCTCTGATATGGCAGTTTATTGTCTCCAGAAATTAAAGCAGACTGTTTATCGGAAAAAGTTTCCAGTGTCATTAAGAAAAACACAAAACGTTATATATAAAGGAAGCAGTGTGTCTGATCTTGGGTCCCTTCATATCCACAGAGAGCAGAATGTCTTTGATGAACCAGTCTGTGGGCTATCCATTGGATCGAGTCTCCCAGGCTCAAATCAATAACATGTACGTGTCAGGGCAGGAGTCTGTGATCTCGGATCAGAGACAACCAGTGGAAACGGTCAGCGCAATGTCGCAAACTGTGAAAAAGAGGAGAGGCCGAATCGTGGGTGCCTTGTGTCCATTCTGTAAATTTTCCATCGAGTATGGAAGGGAGTTTTAAAAAAAGAATGTATATGTGTTATTTCTAAGTGAGCTTTTCAACGTATTGTCTTGTCTAATGGTTTTGATTAGCGTTTGTAATTGTGAGAAAAAAAAATGGAAATATGTATGCTAAATGGAAATTGTACATTTTCAAGAAACATATGTCAAATTCGTTTTTTCTTAAAAACAAGTTTAATTTTTACACAATATTGATATATGTCTTGGAAATGCTTGTCTGTACTATGACATGTGGTGTGGAAAGCTGAATGATTTAATTTTTGAACAAAAATGTAATTGCATTTGTACAATTTTTACATGATATTTTGAGGATGCAGTATTTAAAACCTTCTACTAGTTTATTTCATCGGCTGGTCACTTAAATGTAGTCTTTATATCCTGCGTGTATCTTCTATGTGTATCATCTTAAACCATCTGCTTTGCTGTTGAGACTGCACTATAAATTGTCCACCAAGAAAATGATATACACATCACTTTCTGTAAGGGACACTTGTATCAAATATTTTATAATAAATATAGAATTTGACCCTTTCCGTTTGAAAAAAGGTGACAATTTTTGTATGTTATTTGTTACTTTTATTGTTGGAACATTTATAACACTTCTGAGCTTTTATTTTAGCCGAGTACTAGCTTTTAAGCTTTTTTTTTTTAGTAAAGGTTAATTGGTAGACAGTGTATCTCTTTGGTTTGGAGTATTCAGTTAATTTTTTATTTTCAAATTTGTTGTTAAAATTTTGATGTTCAAGTTGTAAATAAGTTATGCTTTGTTGCCCTTGCTATGCAGCTTTGAATTTTTCTTATCTCACAGTTTCATTCCTTTTGGGTTAAAGTTTTCTATTTTTTAAAAAACTTTTACATTTTTCTTATTCCATGTTGTGCCTTTTATGTCTCTTCCTTCAGAGATGTTTTTAAAATCTGTTTTATACATTTTTGCACGCATGAGATTTTTGCAAGCTAAACACATGTTCTGTGTTCAATCCTGCCCCCCCTCTTAAATCTGTGTACATTTGTATGTAGGGATTTTGAGGGTTGAGCCTACTGCTACGCTGGGTACCTTAAGAGGGAAGAACCATAAAGAGGCAAGGTGGGACTCGCCAGACATTCACGAGTGGGCTTTGCATCATCCGACAAGAAAAGTCTCTGCTACTGTCGCTCTGTCGTCTCATGGTTCAGGCTCACGGCAGCAGCCTACAACATCCTCTCCTAGGAGAAGTGATTCACCATGCCTCCAGACCCCACCCATCAAACAGTTTCTGTTCACGCCTCCCGTAACGTACCGGCGCGTTAAGTCATCATCGACCAGGTCAGACACAGACTGCAGTGATGACTCCGCCAGCGTTAAGTCAGCCGGTGAAGACTTTTGTCCTCTCTATCCACCCATTCCTCTCTCTCTTTCAGTGTCTCCTTCTCAAATACTAACGGATGACTACTAGAAATAGACTTAACAGTCTCCTAACTTGATCATTTTTCTCTATATTCAGAAGGGGATTCTCACACTTTTTCTGGACTTCAGCTTTGTCTAAGACTCTTCAAGTTTTGTTCAGTGTTAATTGTGAATCTAAGTTTTGCTTAAGTCAGCTCGTGTCATGAAAGCTGTGGCATTTGCAAGATTTGCTGTCCCAACCCTGCTCTCTACTCTCATTGTAATGTGGTATCTGCCCACAACTCTCACCTGTAAAGAAACAGGTTTGAGATTTCTTACTATTGTGTCAGTTTTTAATCGGAGCCACAACAAACTTGAAGCATTTTTGTAAAAGGGTCTGTCATGTTTTTGTTATCTATCAGCTAGTAATTGTCTAAAGTTAGCTTGATAGACGAAGTAACATGGCTGTTAGTAGTGTTGTATTAGGTCAAATTTTTTAAATGTTGTTATAGAATACAGAAGTTCATTGTTAGAAGCCTGTTACATTTCTTGTCTCCTGGTTTGCAAACTTGTGCACCTTTTCAGTTCTTTTTCTCTTTCTTCTCTTTTGGAGAAATTACAGTAAAAGTCTAATTTATAGCAAATCAAAAGCAACTCTTGTGTTATGAAATACATTCTTCTTCAAGTTGAAAAATATTTAAAGCAACATGTGCTTTTTTTTAGTGGAAGTGTTGTTCTCTAAAATCTGGTCTCTTTGTTTCCTTTCATTTTGTTTTGTAAAATGTTTCTGATCTTCTTTCTCAGATAATTTCCAACATCTTCTGACAATGCTCAAGCTATTGTTTGATTTAATTTCCCATCATATCTGAAAAATGGGTTGAGGTGATTGAATCATATCCTGTCTTATTTTTTTCAAAAACTCCTGTTCAAGCTTTTCTGTCTTTACATTTCTATATTCTCTTTGTTTTTGAGAACTTTATGTTGAGCAAAACGTCAATTCATCAAGTCTTTATGTAATGCTTAACACAAAAACAGAATTCTGTTGTCTTTCTGCTTTTGTTTTAAATCATATTTCAGTCTGACAATGTTTTTTAAAATCAATTTACCATCATAACACTGTTACTCAATGTCTTGAAAACTCTCCACACCTTGTTCAATTTAAGTCAGATTTGCAGGATGGGGGGTTGGGGGGGGGGGGGGGGGGAGGCTATAAGTGGATCTTTGATGTGGCCTTTCCCATTCATACTCCCTGCTAGTTGTCAATGTTTTCTCTTTGTTAATATTGATACCAAAATTTATTTTCTTGTTCCAAAATTCTTGAAGCACTTGAAAGGGTGTTTGGAGCGTCTAAAAGCTGAAGGAGCAGATATAGGCCCTATGTTATTCATCAAATGGAGTAAGAAAGTACTGATGCAGGTCCTAGTACTAAACCCATTGACTAATAGAGAGAGGGGGAGTCATTTCTTCTACTGTCTCTAATTATCTGTCTGAGGAAGCCTAAGACCAATAAATAGTTATTTTGTCCCGAATTAATTTGATATATTACCTGAAACATTTGTGTTAGATGTCTGGCAGGTCAAATTTTAGACTGTTCCTGAATTTCATTTTGTCCTTTTTCGTTCCTTTGTTGTTATTACTTTCAAAATTTTCCTCTTTCTTGACCTGTCTTACTTTTATGTACGCAAACGTGTTTCTTTGTATTCTTTATCCAATTTCCTTTAGCTTGTCTTGCAACATTATCATGCTTTAATAGTTCTTGGATTCTGAACTAAGCAGTTAGCGACAATACTATAGCTATTTTCTCTCTCAAGAAAAGAGACAAGGAGGGCCTAAAGTGTTAAGATAAGAAATTTTTTTTTTTTTCATCAATTGTGTTATTGTTTTGTCAGAAAACGAACACAGAGAAACAGTGTTTTCATGTAAGCTCTCTTGCCTTCTCTCTTCATCTTTTGCATCTTGCAGATAAGCATACACAACACAATTTCATTCTTAAAAAGATATGTACACACACACAAACACCCACAAACCCATAACACACACCCACATACACACACACACACACACACACACACACACACACACACACACACAGACAAACACACATACACTCACATGTAGATGCCAAAAATACAACTTATGGGGACTTGTACACTCATACTGCACGCTCTCTTTATCTTCTGTATTTTTTTCTCCATTCCTCCGTATACTTACTAGTGTTTTTATTTTCTCTTTTTTTCCCCTGTCTCTCTGTTACTCTGTCCCTCGGTCTGACTTTATTATCTCTTTCTGTAATGGATTCCGTCTTCACGTTTAGTTTACCCCTCTTTCTGTTTAGGTGATGAGATACATCCGATTAAGCTCACCTCCTCCCATAAGTCTGACGTAACTACAGGTCACTCCTCTGAGAGTCAAGAGACTCTCTATGACCAGCTCAATGTCTTGCCGGCCACTTATTCCAAACTGAGTAATTCAGACACAAAGCTTGACTCCACTTTTGCTGACAACCCTAAGTACAAAACTACTGTAAACAAAGGAACTTCTGGCGAAAGTCATTTAGAGGAGTTTCGTAAGCAAGCTACACGCTATAACAGCATGAAAAAAAGGGTGCAGAGCGAGGAAGCAGAGACTGCCGTATCTCCATATGCCAATATTTCTCAGACGAGAAGAAAGTCTATACAAACCCAAGATGAATTAATTCCCCACTGGCACCAGACCCTGCACAAGAAGTCTGAAGTAGAAGCCCGGACAAAAGAGAACAGTGTTGAAGGTGGTGTGAATGATGACAGTGTGGATAAGCAGTTCAGTGAGTCTTCTTCTACAGAACAGTTATTCCAGCCTGTCGATCTGAATCGTGATAAAAAGATGCTTGGGTTGGTACAAAAACTTCAACAGCAACGCAGCCCTCTTCATTCAAGAGGGAATTCCACATCATCAGCAGAATCTATTTCTGCCTGTGTCCAAGCGGTGAAGGCACAACAACTACTGCAAAGTCGTCAATGCCCTCAGGCCTCATCAGCTGACTCTGTGTATAGTCTGAATAGTGAATTAGCTGGCTCAGCAGAGTCACATCAGGCGTTAAGTAGAAGTAGCTCTGATGTCCCACAACAGAATTGGAAAGAATCGGTCACTAGTCTCATGTCAAGATCTAATGCTGCCATTCCCAAGAGCAACACTTTCCCCCGAGAAGGTATACAACAGCACTCTCAGTTCCATAAGTCTTCACCTGCCTTAGAGCCAGATGCTTTTTGTATTCCCAGCCCTTTTGCTGTGTGTTTGTACCATCTTTTTTGCCAGAGCTAATGAAGCTAACTATAGTTGTTTCTTTTAGAACATTCTATTTCTTAGAAGTTTAAAGCGTGTATTTACATATATTGTAGTCTGTAAACCGCTGTAACAGTTTGCTCGTAGAGCTAGAAATAAACTCTCTATAACAGTATTACCTCTTCTGTATTAAGAAAATTGATAAGGATTAGAAGACTGCTAGATTAGATCTTGTCTTCTCATGCTGTGAAGTAAATGCCACTTTCTTTACAATTTGATTTTGAAGATACACGCGTATTACCATGCAAATGTCAGATCACCAACCAGCATCTATTCTGTTGTATTGAAGTATGACCCAGTTCCTCAATGAAAATTTTTTTTTTAAGTCAACATTTCTGTTTTACTCTGCCAATGATACATAGAAGTGTGACATTTTCTTATGTGGATGATATTGGTGTTATTCCATCCTCCTCATATATGTTCAAACCTACGTAATGAAGTGGTTCTGTATAAGCTTTTTCTGTTTTCGTTTTTTAAAATTGGGATTCTCCAATGCTTTTGCCCATCTCACCCCTACCCCCTGCCCATGTATTTGTGGTGTGCTTTATTTCTACTTCATGTGCTCCATTTGCACCCTCATTTTTGCTTTGTGAAGGAAATGTCAAGGAATATTTAGGCATCTCAAGACAATAACAGTAATTTAAATGTTTTTTTGTCCTGTAATCTTTTTTTGAAAGCTTACCAACGCTCCCCCCCCCCCTTTCTTCACCTTCGACCCCAAAACCACCCAAGCCATTTTTGAGTATTGAGTCAAGAATGTACACAATATAGTGAGTTTTTGTTTTGTGGATTTGTACACTGTATGGTGAACCACTGTCTTTTTGAGCACTTCTATAACAAATGTAGTATAAATGCACGAGTTCTTGACTTTGACACATGTCTCCAGGACTCAGGGAATATGATCTACTGTATGTGCTTATGGAATCGTGTCAGGGAAAGCTGGTCCTAACTGATCACTTATTTTCTTCCCTATTCTCTGCACCCACTTCTGTACCACTGTACCAGAAATAAATTGCAGGGGAAAGTAAGAAATATTGTTATTTTGCTGTATAACACATTCACACTGTGAGCTCATATCAAATTAGTAGGCTCATTTCTTTGAGCTTCAGTGACAGTGAACAAACAAGTTCAAGAAGGTTTGTGGTTTTATTTTGAAAATTTCTCTTTGGCTCTGTACGGGAAATTACTGTCTAATATGTGTCCTGTCAACGTGTTTTGACACATTGTTGGTCTATGAACATTATTTCGATTTCAGGAGGAAAAAAGAGGAGAAGACTGCCAGCTGTCCATCCAGACAATGCTGGAGAGAAAAGTGTTGACAGGGAAAGCACAACAAAGATGGCCAAGCAGAAGGCGATGGATGAAAAGACAAAGCTTGTCTCTGCTCAGAGACGGAGCTCATACTCTCATGCTTTGGAGAACCAAAAGGTTTCGGTGATCCTCCCTCCAGGTAATGATAACTGGACTGACTTGCATGCGCCTGTGGCAGAAAGCCAGTCTAGCCTGAATGTTGATTCTGATGAGGAGAAAATAGATAGCTCAGAGCCTGAGGTTGATTCTCTGACCTCTTCCTTTCGCTCTGGCTCTTCTGTTGCAACTGCTAACCTTGACACCAGTTCTGCTGATACTAAAAGCATGAGTGGCATTAGTGTGCACAGTGAGGAAAGGAATTCAGGTCAACAACCTTCATATTCTGATGAAGGAAATAGAGTTAACAGCATTAATCAAGTCGAACACCCGAACAGTTTGTCGAGCATTCACCGTCAACAGATGCTAGACTCCAGTCACCATGGCAATGGTGTCGTTTGTGATCCAGCAGAGCCCAAGAGCAGCGCAGACAGTTTTGAAGAAGTGTACAACTCCAATGTGAGCCGCCTCATGGAAATGATGACCGGAGCTCCTCTCGAGGCATCAAGCTTAGAGGCAGACACCACGGGCCCTGGCTCCAAACACAAGCGAGAGTTGCCAAGAACACCGAAAAATGGTAAGAGTAAAGAGTTGTTACTTCAGAAATCTTTGTCACTGTCTGAAGAAGTAGCTGCTAGTGAAGAACTTCTTAAGTCTGAAAGAGACTCTGAGAAAGGTTTCAATGATGATGATAGGCTTAGTTTTAATGCTCTTGCAGAGAGTTCAAGTAAATATGAAGCCCAGTCCGCCGGAAAGGAGAAATATGAGAAACGATCTCTTCCTGTGGTCACTTCATCTACCTCACAGTTGAACCATAAACAGCCTGTTCCAGTTAAATCAAGCCTGCCTGTCCAGCCAAGGTCGGAGCACGGAGAAGGGGACCAATGTGACTTAGACATACAGGAAATTAAAGACCAAGTCTTACCTGTGAGCCCCCAGCATCAACAAGTGAAGGGTCAGATGGAAGAAATGATTGAAAGAACAGATCATGGAGAGGCAGGCTCTTCCAAAGTCAAGCCAGCGCCCAAGTACACCCTGCCACAGCAAGTGAAAGAACAAAAAGAAGAGCTGTCCAGAACTTCAGAGCACGCAGTCCCAGACTCCCTCAAAGTTTCTCTGTGCCGCTCAGGTTCCAGCGTGTCCGATTCATTAAGCATTATCACTGAAGTGTCTGAGCCCTGTGGTGAAGCTGAGTGTCTGCCAGACCAGCAGGATTCTGACAGTGACGACACATTGTATGAGGGCAGTCTTGATAGCCTCAGTGATGAGGATGAATACTATTGCAAAGACTTTAAAGCTCCCTCTGATGGTGACATTTTGGCGGATATGACATCTCAAAGTTTAGGTCATGGGTCGGACTCAGAGAAGGAGCTAGAGTCCTCTGTGGCTTCCCGAGAGACGACTGAATCTGGAAGAGACATCAACTCCGTGGAGGAGCTGTTCAGACTGACTGAGGATGAGCAGCATAATAGAAATTCAGACATATTGTCTAGTCACAAGAGTGACAAAACTGATATCAAATCAAAACTGAGTACTAAGTCTGTTACTTTTGCTGTTGACGAGTGTGATGAGAGCCTGTCGGATAGCAGTAGAGTGGATGTTGAAGAAATGTTGGAAGATGATGAAGAAGGTGGTGAGGGTGGTGCCGAAATTAATTGCCCCTCTGTGGGTATTGACTTAGGTATCCCACAGCACGGCCAAGAGAAGCCAACTCTGCTGTCCTTAGCCGGTGGTGAATCGTACAGCCAGCCACAGTCACTTCCTGTTGCCTCTGTGGATTTGGATGGCTCTGCACCTTTCCAGCGGGGCCACATTGGTGTTGGGGGTGATGGTGTTACCACTAATACTAACTCAGCTTTAACAGGGGGACAGCAGCCCCAGAATCAGATTTCCCTGTCTGATTTGGGGCCCAGCAGTGAGGGTAGGATTGACCACCTACTTATTTTATTTATTTTTTTTTGCACCTCAGCTTGAGATCCTTTTTGACATATGCTGGGAACAAGGCTCTCTCTCTTGCTTTTTACCACACTAATACATCAAACACATGGCAGTGCATGCCTCTGTCTCTTATAAGATTATATTTTCAGTCTGTCTTGAAACACTCCTTTACAATTACTACAAGCAAACTGTTATGTTCGTATCTTGTTTCTGCTAATGCGTATACACTTTTTCCTGGAGGTTGAAAAGACTGCTGAATTAAGAACCTGATTCCGGGCAATGCATACCCCTGCTTTTGACAGGCTCAAATTGCTAACAGATGAATATTCACCTTAATTCACTGAAATGTGGGAGAGTTCCAAAAGTTGAAGAGGTTGTAAAAAGTTATGACAGATGAGGTCTTATTGTTGATTTTTTTTAAGTATAAAAGATGAGCAAAATGAATTAAAGAGGCAAAGTGGATGCAAGTTAGTTAGCTATTAGAGGCTAAATTTCATAAGGATCGCATGGAACTGTCATATTGTAACCCCAACAAATTATTTGCAACAATTTACTGCCATCTTTAAATCTACTTCTCAGATTTAATAGTTCCACTGCTAGGTTCTGCTACTTTACTTTCCTTCCGTATTTCCTTCTGTCTGTCATACATTTTTCCCAACATCAAGTGATTGTTATCATGCTGATGCTCTTCTCTTTCACTCAGTGGGTGGTTGGTGGGTGCTCCTTCTTTCCTATCAAGCATCTATTGTCTTTACCTCTCCTCCTCCTTTTTTGTGTTTGTAACACCTCTAATCTTCGGCACTTATATAACTTAATTGTGAACCAAGTGCCATAAAATGCCTACTAAAAACCTTTTTACTCAAACAAGCAAGCAAATTTCTCAGTACTACTTTGTTACTGTTCTGACGGAGGGTTTTTGTTTTTCTTTTGCATGATGATGAGAATGCACAGGGTTCACTTGGTATATTTTCCTGCATGTGATTAAAAAATTATAGATGCAAAAACTGGAACTTGTTTCTTTAAAATTATCATCTTGAGAAATATATTGTGATTAAATATAAGGGTTTGAAAACAGTTGTTTTGTAATGTTGCGGAGTACGACATAACTGACTGAAACTTTTGCCAAAGGTTTTGTTTTCTCCTATAATGTTCATTTGATATCCTCTCACTCATGAGGTTTTGCTCTTCTTGGTGCGCTGGTAATGTGCATCCTCATGATGTGCAGTTTACTTGTTATAACATGGACATGGCATGTATAATGACTTTGAAGTTTGGGCCTTCTCAACTAATAACAGATGCTAATTTTGTTCTACCGATTTAAAAAATTCCGCAAAGAAGTGTCTTTATTGCCTCTCTAAGCAGAGCAGAAAATTTTATATCAAACAAGTTTGCTTGTTCCAGAATTATTGTGGTTGAGTGTTTTGTTGTTGTTGTTGTTGTTGTTGTTGTTGTTGTTGTTGTTTGTTTTGGGGTTGTTTTTTTTGGGGGGGAGGGGTTGGATTTTTAAAATTAATTATTTTCCAGTATTGTATTCCCCTCAGACTTTCTTTACATCTAAAATTACCTGTTATCTTTTTGATCTTAGGTTCTTAAGGACTTTGATACTGTGAGTTTATGACCGACAATGGGATGATAATTTGTGAACAAAGTATAGATATTATGTTGTCAACAAATTTATGTCTTCACTACAATTCTAACAAGTAATTTAACACTTTTTTATGTAACAGACTTGGTGTCATTGTACATATGATATTATCTAGACATGAAGTGTTGTTAACTTCAGTGTATATGTCATAGTTTTGTGTTGTTTACTCTCACTGTCCTGTATTCCTAAATGTGATGGTTTTCAGAAATGTTATTGTTTTTCACTTGTGGAATACTGTAGAGCTGTGTCAAATTTTGAAAAATTGCATGTTCCTTACTCGATCTGAACGTACATTCCTGTGCAGTGGGACATGTTTTTCAACCTCCATATTCGTATGCTATATTTGTCATCATTTTATTCCTCCTTTTTATTTTATTTCTGTCTTTCCTTGCTGGTTTTGATTTTTCCTTTGTTGGTGCTGCTCAAAGTACCACTTTATTCCTTTTTCTTATTTTGTTACCACTGTCTCTCTCAGAGGAGCACCTTCAGATGGCCTGAGGGATATTTATAGTCTTCTATCTTGCCGACAGGGGACACATTGTGGGTGGTTGGCGGGTGCTCTGGTGTGGTTTGCTCCTACTTTTCTATAAAAAATCTATCGTCTCTATCTCCCCTCCTACTTTTTTGTGTTTGTTACTCTCTTGTAACACCTCTAATCTTCGGCACTTATATGACCATATTGTGTTGCAAGTGTCGTAAAACTCTTACTAAAACTAAAACTAAGGGACACATCTCCCTGCTGGTGGGGTATGGCCTTTGTACAACTTCGTCTGTGATGTATGAGTTTTTATTTCTTGTCAGTAACCCTGTCGACGAGTTGCTGTATGTTTTTAAAAAATCAATTACTCTGTCCGTTATGTTTTAAAGAGATATATGTTTTTAAAAAATCAATTACTCTGTCCGTTATGTTTTAAAGAGATGATGAAAAGGGGAAAACACAATTTTTATTTCATGTTCAAAAGATTGTGTAAAGAATACATTTTCTCTGGGACTGGAGTTGTAATTGAAGATGGAAGGTGGGTGGTTGGCGGGTGCTCTGGTGTGGTTTGCTTCTTCTTTCCTTTCAAACATCTATCGTCATTGTCTCCCCTCCTTCTTTTTTGTGTTTGTTACTCGCTTGTAACACCACTAATCTTCGGCACTTATATGACCTTATTGTGTTGCAAGTGTCGTAAAACACTTACTAAAACAAACGAAGATGGAAGCTCTTTTTTAAATTGAGTAGGTTCAAGTCGGCCTCTTTTTGACACTTCATTATTAATTTATTGTTGGTTGCTTTTTTTCCACATCCCTTTTTCTGTCATGAACTTGAATGCTTGCACAACTTATGTTTAGTCTACCATCAATCAGATATTATGAATAGCTATGTTACCTGAGTTTGAGATAGGTGTTTGAAACGAAAGCAAAGCAGAATGCCGAGTACACATGAAAAGGTCTGTTTAAATTCATCTCCCCGAACTTTCCGATGTGTCACAAGGGTTGCTTTTTTTCTATTACTCCTTGTGTATAGTTAGGTTGACCTTCACAAGATTTTTTTTTTGGTCTTGAAGTTGGTGTTCTTTGAGTACTTGTCTTTTTGTGGGGATGTAATTTGTCATTTCCAGACAGCCCAAGTTGGCCCTTACAGCCAGGGTAGAAGAAACCTGCCTCCTGATGTTGTGTTGCAGAGGACCAAAACATTTAATGTCCCATTGGTCTTCTTACTTTTGGGCTCTGTTCTAAATGTCTGAAGTATGCTAAAGTCTAGCTTTGAAAAAATTATTCTATAAATGTTAGCCATATGATGGTATCAGTCTACTAATTGACCATTGGACTTAATATTTCACCTAATCATTTCAAAATGAAACTGTTTTTGTATTCATGGATTCACATTCTAGAATAAATTTCACCTTGATAGTGTTTTTTCTTAAGCCTATTCTCCTTTCATAAGTTTCAAATATTTGATTTTTGGCCTTTTGCAGTTATGGAAGAGTATAAAGGTTTATGGCTCACTACATAAATCTAATGGAAATATTGTAATATTAGTTTTATCTGCTTTTGGAACATATTGAAACAACAACAAAAATCTGCTCATGTACTCAGTAATTCTTTGTCTTAATTATCAGTAAGACTGAGCCAGTAGAATCCTTGAAAATACTCTTGACATTTTGCTTCACTCCTTTGTTAACCACAGCTTTGCCCTTGCCCATTGCTTTCGTAATATTTCATCATATGCCACTTTGGTTTTTATGCCCATTGCATCTTGTCTGTGTTTCCTTCAATGAATTTAAGTATATATTTTGTCCTTTTCATGTAAGTTTGGAAATCTTAAAAAAAAAAAAACACTTGAAAATTGAAATACATTTTCTGAACATTCAATTACACCTTTTCAATTAAAGAAAAATAGACTATTTTGTTTTATTAAGATAAGATAAATAATTTTGTATTTTTTATAGAATAGTAAATCTACTTTGATATATATGGTAACACTGAAATTGAATTTTTAAAATGTCCTATTGGTTCCAATTGAAAGCACAGTGCTTAAAGTTAAATTTTACAGTTTTTTGTAGATATAAATTGGTACAACTAAAGAGAGTAAAGGTATCAAGTCTCATAGATTTGTGAAATGCTGATCTTTTTTTATATGCATTGATGAAAAGTATTTTTTCCTTGCTGAACGCTGCTACCCTTTTTCTGGTTTATCTGAAGTTTTTGTTTCAATTTGTTATGGATGTCAGAATCGACAAGAGACAGTGATAGCGGAGTAACCAGCAGCCATACAAGCCGCACCAACACACCTGAACAAAGACAGTCCTTAGCACCCCAACACGCAAAATCTCAACCAAGTCGGCTGCCCTTGCCGTCGATTTCCGTGACAAACTCTGGAGAAGAGGTGAGTGTTGCATTTCTTTTTTTTAGAAATGAAGTTATTTAAAATTGGATCTGTATTTCTAATGGAGTTGTTAAGTATTGTGCTTTTTTGTACCAAGTGTTTGTTGGATTTTCTTTCCCATGTTTCAGGCTGCTTTTTCTTGGCTACAAATTATCTTTGTAAACGTTAACATCTCTTCTCTGTAAGTTGTATCAGAACCTTTGACGTTTTGACCAGACTACTCTTATTACATTTAGGCATTTTTTACCTACACGTGAAGCTTTGAGCTTGGGCTTTTCCATAGACAAGCATATATGCAGGTGCACACTGTACACAGAGTTGATCAATGAGTAAGCTGTCATGAGAATGTGGGAAGTTGGTTGAAATCGCCAGTAGTACTGGTCGGTCCTACTGCTTTCCTTTTCTTCTGTTGTTTATCATGACTGTCTACCTTACTTTTTCTCCCCATTATATTGATTCCAAGTGTTTCTCTTCACTCAAACTAAACTGGGATTAAGAAATATCTCCAACACGTTAGAGTCAGTTTTGGATCTTCGCAAGAGTGACGAAATTTCAGAAAAAGAGAAAAAGTCTTCCTCCGTCCAAGGACCCTTGCTTTGTCTTTTATTGGATGGTAAAATAAGGATGTCAACACTAAACACAGGAGAGGATAATGTATTCTTTTCACATCTTTGTGTGGAAGATTGTGACATACAGTGGGACAGATAATGGTAAGCTTCTTCCTTCGGCAACCTACAGTGGTGTATTTGTAAAATTGCCTTTTATGTGATGTCATATATTTTGTGACGTGTTTTGACTTGTGAGTTTATGTATGCTTCTCAAACAATATGTGTCACGACACGGTGTAATCGGGAGCTCGTCAATTTTTGGGCATGGTATCATCTAAAACTGATTGATTTACCTTGCTTCCAATGAAATAAATATCCGTTTATTTTGAACAGAACTCAAGATATTTGCGACTGAAGGAAGTAAAGTCGCCTGGTTTTAGTGTTGAAATGAGTGAGAAAATGGCCACCAAAGTTTGGTTATTCCACTAGCTCATTGAAAATTGAAAAATCTCAAACTTTGCGCTTTCAATCAATGTTTGTCAGTAAAATTCACATGGAAATGTGTTTTTGTATGGACAGAAAAGAGGTTAAACCAAAAAATAAAAATTCAATAAAAATTTCCGGACTGGCAGAAAAATGCCAGTTTCTCCGATTTCGTTATTTTGACGAGCGCCTGATTTCTCCATGCTGCCTCACATATGTCATTGCAACTATCAACGTCACTTGTGGATAAATGGATATGTCTTTTCGTTTATGTTTCAACTACTTTTTACTTGGCCTGATAGTGGGTGGTTGGATGGTACCACTAGAAGGTCCTACTTTTCTTTTCCCTCTGATGTTTCTTTCTGTCTCTCGTGCTGTTTCCCTGCACTAAATGACTGTGAATGTGTTGATGTATTTCTTTGTATTCAAATAACCTTGCCTGATATTGATGACACCACAGGGTTTTGTCTCACTGCTGATAGTGTTATATTTGAGACCGTGTGGTGAAATCAGGCGCTCGTCTAAATAATGAAACTGAAGAAACTGGCATTTTTTCACAGGTATGGCAATTTTAACCGAATTTTCGTTTTTTGGCTCATCACCTTTAATGTCTATTTAAGAATACATTTACGTGTGGATTTTTCTGTAATCTGATAAAATAACCAAACTTTGGCGCCATTTTCTTCCCTATTTTACCTCTGAAAGCAGGCTACTCCCACATCCTTCAATTGCAAATATCTCGACTTGTATTTAAGATAAGAGGTATTTCTTGCATTTAAAGCAAGGCAAATGAACACGCTTTATGTTGAAACCAATAACCCTATGTCCCCCAAAAATGACAAGCGCCTGATTCCACCACGTCCTGACACATATATCAGAGTCATCAACAGTCACTGTAGTATGTCTCAGCTTTGGTACACCCCACAGAGATACCTCCCCGACATTAGAGTCAATTTTGGATCTACATGATTAGTGATTAGATTTCAGAGAAAGAAAAAGAAAATAAGCTTTAATTGATGTAGTAGGCCTATACAGATCTAGGGTCTTCCTTCTCCATACAACTGGGTCAGTTAATGTTAGGGTCACCATGATGTCGTTTGCCATAGATGCTTTCGATTTACTATTTTTATCATGGAAAGGGGGGGGGGGGGTAAGTAGTATTTTTGTAGTCTCATCCCGTTGGTTCCCCTTAATAGCAGCCCTATGTCATGGAAAACAGTGGACATTAAAGTGACATTACCCTCTTTCATTAGCTAATAAGGAAAATAATTGTAGCCTGTTCCTTTCCTGCCCTAGATCTTCTAGCTATTAAAACTATTGCTCAACTGAAGACTTAGTGTTAACTGTTTCATTTAGCTTTGTCAGGACTCAATGGGTTGGGAAGCTGCAAGAGATTGTAAAACGCTTGGAGCCTTTCTTGCAGCAGGGATATGCACCATGTAAATGCATTACCATTATTCATATTATTTTTAAAAAATTGTTACGTATTGTTATATTGATATTATTATAATTATAATTATTATTGTTGTTGTTGTTGCTGTTGGTTTATTTTTGTGTTTTTTTTGTCTATGCGTCTACAGGAATGTTGTGTTCTTTTTAGCCTAGGTTGGCCGTAAGAGGCAGGGTCGGAACAGCAAGCCTCCTAAATGATCTAAATAGTGTCGATTGGTTCATAAAACACCAACAATTACATCATTATTATCAGTATTATCAGTATTATTACTATTATAATGATGATTTCTTCTCAGTCAGGTACATGCCCAGGCAGGGGGCCAACTGCTCCACTTGACTTGTTGTACAGCCAGTAATGCATTGAATTCGAACAGAAGTGTAATTAGTGTTCTTCAGTTTGGAGTGTCAAATGTATTTTGTGTTTTTTTCATGCCAAGCATTCTTTGACTTTGCATCACTTCTCAGAGCTCGGCTGTGACTTGGATAAAAAGCAAGAAAACGAAGAAATCCAAGGCATAAAAATATCTCTCAACCTCCTTATACTGCATGCTGTACACAGTGTAGTTAATTCTGTAATTTAGTGGCTTGCATGTCAGTGATAGTGATCTTAACAAAGAGAAACTGAGGGTTTGAAATGCGGGTGGTTGGTGGGGGCTCTGGTGACGTTTGCTTCTGCATAAGGTCATATGAGCGCGCGGGACACACCTAATATTTTCAGTTGGTAGGAAATTTTGAATTTTGCCCGGGTGGCGGCCGAAGCCTACTCTTATCGATTTTAGACCACCAAGGGATCTTAAACGTGCGCAACTTGCACACGGGCCCTCCGAGATTTTTCGCCCTTGTCCGAGAAGGCTAGGTGTAGATCTTTCCTACCAGAAGATCAGGGGTGTGGCAGAAAGACAGCAGTAAGGAGGAGCCAAGGAGTAACAGTAGAAAGGCTGCAGAAAGAGTCAGGAGCCCAGAGGAGGGGGCAAAGGAGGTGAGGGGGTGGGTGCAGAAAGTGGAAATGAAAGCAGACAACAGAACATTGCTAGAGAGCAGGAAAGAAGGTGAAAGGAGACAATTTTAGAGAAGAAAATTTTTCGGTCGCTACCCGGATTCGAACCCGGGACCTTTTGAATGAGAGGCCAACACCTTAACCTCTAGGCCACGAGAGCCCCCCGCTTTTTGTGTAAGCCCTTTATGTCTATTTAGAGTAATGTGAAAGTGCCAGTAATAGTCATACAGATTTCTTGATATTTGCAGGGAAATGCCATAAATATTTCTCCTTCAAGAATGAAATTTCTCTCTATGTCATTTATATTTGAGACATGTTTCTCCCAGGAGTGTTACTTTGATGAGAGGCTTGCTAATGTGTTTGTGAACCCTTTTATGCTGGTTTGTCGTGTACGCATGGATGGTAGAAAGCCCTTGTCCTCAGCATGTTAAACCAAGCCAGATGAGTAACAATGGTGTAGAGTGTTATTATTTATTGCATGTGTAACTGGTGGACGGGGCACTCTTTTCGTGAGTGTCTACTCCTGCTTCTTGTCAGTGTTGCCTTAAGCGACTTGTTCTTGTCAAAATGGCTGGCCGTGTCATGTCCACTCATGGCACACTACCTCTGAGCTGAACAACAACTTTGCATATGATATGTCCTTTTCTCAGAGAGACGGAGAAGAGGATGATGATATAGATGAACTGTTTAGCCAACACCATCCTAATATGCTAGGCAGCCGCAGTAGCCTTGCAGTAAGTCTCTCGTGGGATTCTTTGGTACTCACACACTAACCGAGGGCATGGTCTCTTCACAAATTATGCTTGAACGCATGGCTTACTCATAGACACAGTATTGTCACTGAGCATTTTCTGCATCTGGAAAAATAGGCAGAAAATGTTGAGTTTCTAACAATATTAACACCCTATGGATTTGCAGTTTTTGGTGCAGCAATGTGTACAACCTGTTTCCACTTCACTTCAGGGCTATTGTGAAATGTTTGTTCATTACGCAACGTGTCGTGTCAAACTTTTTACAATTATAGAAACTAAAAGATGACAACAGGTAGACAAAATGGTTTTTTTTCCGATCCAGTTTTTGTTATTGTTATCAATCCAGTACAAGAAGAAGAAGAAGAAGAAGAAGAAGAGGAAGAGGAAGAGGAAGAGGAGGAAGAGGAAAAGGAAGAAGAAGAAGAAGAAGAAGAAGAAGAAGAAGAAGAAGAAGAAGAAGAGGAAGAGGAAGAGGAAGAGGAAGAGGAAGAAGAAGAAGAAGAAGAAGATTAGGTTTCTGGATATGATAGGTTCACATTATACCTATGACCAGAGAAAGAAATGCATAGACTTAAACCTGAAAGGGTGCAAGGGACATGTTAAAGTAAGGCAGTGGTGATTGAAGATACATGTCACAAATTTCCAGGTCTAGAGATCATACAGTTTTAAGGACACGAGCCTGTGACAATGCTGTCTGTATGTTCATGGTTTTTGGTTGTGGTTCCCTCACCCATATTGCTAAGAATGTCGAAAATTTCAGGTAGGTGGGTTTTTTTGTCTCTTGATGTAACCATTTCGTGGTTATGGTTTGAAAAATATGCTTGAAAATATCCCCCCCCC